AGTGTAGTAGAGCACATGTAGGGTTGAATAAGGAATTTGAAAAATATGCAATTCGAATTGTAATCTAATTTGGTAGGTTTTAGATTGATTTGTTGAATCCGTAGTTCCGTTTTGGGTTGTCAAATTAGGAATTTGTTCTTCGCGGATTGGTTCAGGATTGGAATCCACGGTATTGTTGGATAATCTTCAATGTATTCAACGAAAGAATTAAAGAAAGGAGATAAATTATTTGATTACAAAAATGAAAACAGTATATAAAATAAAATAAAACAACAGATTCTTGTTTTGTTACAAAAACAAAATTATAATCTAAAAAAGAAAAAATAATAAAACAAAAAGTAAATTCATTACTTACCTTATTAATTTGTCAAACAATTTTTTGATCAAGTCTAGTGTTTAACACTGTGTCCTTAAGACAGATTCGTCATTTCCACCGTACTTTCAGATTTTGGACGTCTATTTCCTAAGATAAGATGATCAATAACGAATAGTAGCAACACTACAAATTATTCGCACAACGAACATACCTTGTGTTGTTGCACTCTTTCTCATAGGAAAAATAATGCAGCAAAATGTAGAGAGCAATAGCAGAATTGAGGATGAAAATTCAGTGAAAATCCAAATGAAGGACTTGTCTATTTATAGGTGCAATAGTGGCTTTTCAAATTTAAATTCAACATGTAGCAAACCTGTTTGAACAGGTATAGTACCTGTTCGATTTGAATTAAACTGATACAGACCTGTTTGAATTTAAATTAAACAGGTATGAACTTGTTGGGTTTGAACTGAACAAATTTGAATATGTTCGGACAGATATGGAGCCTGTACAAAAAAGTTTCCTCAACCGAAATTGGAAAACAAATTTGGACAGATTTTATTTTTCTAAAAAATAAAAAATAAATTCAAATATTTTTTGCCCAAAAAGATAAGCATTGGGCCAGACAAGCCCAACCCAACCTTACACCACGCACTCAAGCCTAGCCCAACCCGACCTGATAGATGGTGGCACGTGTTTGTTTTGGGTCTAATGGGTCTAGCCCACTTTGTCCATAACTTCTCCCTTTACAAAATTTGAGTGCTCCTTAGGGACTACCTCAAGTTCCAAACCCAAGCCTTATTAACCCACACAAAGTTTGCTTACTAAACCAATGTGGAACAAATCTTAACTCAAACCTTTAAAGAAATTCTACCAAACATACAATTTTCTTGAAGCCCATTTTGGCATCAATTTTCCATTCATCCAATAATGGTTTTGAGCAACTGAATAAACTACGTGAATCACAACGCGGTATAGAACGCGTCACCACTTAGACCCGTCAACTTTGGCGTATGGGTCTCACCTAAAAATTAGACCAAAGTTTGAAAAAAATCTATTTTTCCCAATAACATTTTTCAAACCATTTCTAACAGGTTTTAGATTAGAGCTGATCTAGTCCATATATAACTTAAACTATATACAGAATGAAGTAAGACTATTGCATGTGTTAAAATGTAACCATTGTAAAGCTTCCTATGCTTGGGGTTAGTGCAAATGGAGCTAGTATATTGAGAAAATATATTACAAACTGTCCCATTTCTCCTCAGAATCAATAGAAAGAAAGACAAGATTTTTATCTAATGGGAATATTATACTTGTTCTTTGTTGAACAATATGTTTATATATTAGATATTATGTTTGTTTATGTTAATTGTGGAATAATATGCATGTTTATATTTCGAAAAATTATGAACAAATTAACGCTGAAATAAAAATGTTACATGTGTTTTTTCTTTGTGAACAAATTATGTGAAACCGTAGTTGCAAATCGAGTCGAATTGTATTTAAATGATTTGGTTCGGATTAGTTTTACAATTTAAGAGGTTGTTTGGGTTGTCCTAAATAAGTGCACTTCTTGTCTTTTTTAACAAAAAAGTTGAGAAAAAAAAATGGATGTTTGGGTTAACTTTTTGGCCTTTTACAAAAAAATGTGTAATAAAAATTGTATAAATAAAGTGTATAGTGGAAGAAAATTAATTGATTGTACAGCTCTCCTGCGACTGCGCAGCATGTCTCCACATAAATAATTGCCTCATTCGGGGCAAATAACTTTTGGACTGTGATGGTCGGTTCGTGGGGGCCATCATGGGGCCCATTTTAATAATTTGCATTGAGTAATATGTACAAATCGTCGAGTATTATATGCCTGTAAAAAATCACATTGATCGGATATCAATAGCTATATGATCGGATTGGTTTTGTTCAACAGTTAACTATCACACCATTCGTTTTGTTTATACAAAACTGATTTTATCATATAATTAACGATATCCGATCAACGTGATTTTTAACAGGCATATATTACTCGACGAGTTCTACATATTGAACGGTTTAGATTATTAAAATGGGACCTATGATGGCCCCTACAGACCGACCATCACTGTCCAAAAGTTATTTGCCCCAAATGAGGCAATTTTTTTTTTTGCCCCAAGAGAAGTGTATGATGGCCTGCTTAACGGCTGCGATGTTGTTAGTGAATTTATATTATAAAAATATATAAAATATTTTTTTAATATTTTTATTTATGAATAGTAATATTTTTTTTGCTTTTTATATAACTTTTTGACATTTTGAATTATATTTGACTTGTCAAACTTGACCTAAATAGATTGGCTTAGTTTTAATTTTTAATTTTTATAGAACTATAGGCAACGAATTTGTCATAATTTTATCCTAAATCAAACTAATTCAGACTACACTCACCTCTAACCACATGAGGGAGATGAAGACCTTCAAAAGTAATGGGTCATTGGTTTATTTTCTATTGTGAAAGGGAAATTTGTTCAAACCACAAATTTTGCCTTTACCCTGAAGCATGCATATATGAGTTTAAAAAATAGTTGATGTACCAAATTAGGTCAATGGATTATATGGCTGGGGGTGTCATCGAAGATTTTGTGGAAGCCTAAAATTAAATATCAAATACAGTATAAAATTTTAAAATTTGTAGTCTTCGGATCACCTACATTCTGTTAATTTATGGATAAATTAATAATTATTAATTTATAAAGATATTTTAAATTTTTTTCGACTTAACAGTGAACATATTATATTTATTCACTTATCAAGGTTCGATAAATTTGATTTATCACATAAAATACTAAGTTAAAATACAAAGTATTATAAGATATACTTTTATATTTAACAAATTAAGAGTTCATTAAATTATAATTAGCATAAAGATCCAATGTATTAAACTTAATTAAAACAAGTGCATACAATATATTGAATGAAAACAATCACTATTTAACCCAATACAATCTCTTATTGTCCATGGTATCTTTAGTTCAAAAATAACAAAATTGGCTTCGCATCTCAAAGGTGTCAAGAAAAGAACCATGACATACGAAATGTATTATGTATTTTTTAGTTAATTATTAATTTATAAAATATTTGGGCCTCATAAAATACAAAAGAAATATTTGAAATGTATCATCTTATAATTTTATGAAGATTATTAATTTAGCACATTGGTTCCGAGTCAAAATCAACCGGCTATTTTTTTCTTTTTAATTTTTTTGAAAATATGGGCGGGCGAGCTGGGCGACCGGCCCGACCCGACCCATTCAGAATACATAAAATCGGTGAAGTCCCTTAGCCAAGAGTCTGGATCCTCTGCCGTTGTTCCCTGCAGTGTTTCCTGTGGTGGGACAAAACGACGTCGTTTTGGACAAATTTTTTTTTTTCTCTTTTTCTTTTCTCTGAACTCTCAAACCAAAAAGACGAAGAGGGAAGACGACGGTGCGGCGACAACTGCACGACAAGGCAAAGCTAGGTGACGGCGGCGAGGTGACGCCCTTCCTTCATTGCTCCATCAAATTGCAGAGAATGTAAAGAGAGAAAGCTAGAGAGAGGGCATGCAGACCTTCATTCACCTTTCTACCAATTTATATACCCCACATATATATATATATATATGCATTCAGTTCTATAATATGATTATTATTGTTCATTTTCACTTCAATTAAGTAAAATAGTGGTGAATCTAAATGTGTTTTGTTTTAGGGATTAGGGTTTTTGATGGAATTTGAATCTTTGCCATTATTCGTTGCGACGTACAAAAAATGTAGCTTTGTCATCACCTCGCCTCGCCGTGCCGATGGCAAGGCGAGCAACAATGGAACTCCACGGCTTACTATGGATGACCAAACTTTTCCTATTCTCAAACACACCAAATGCACTTTTTAGATTTAAAAGTTCATATCCCAAACATCACAATACAACCAAACAGTGCTAAGAATGAATCAATTGAACATAAAATGGTAAAATTAACAAGAACCTATGTGTCAAAACTAGAAATAAGCAAATAAACAATATTCAGAAGGCAACAACAGTGAAACATTTCAAAATTAATACATTCAAATCTAGAAATTTCCATCCCACATATGAGGATCGTTTCGGTCTTTCGTTTGGCTGGGTTGTGTGAGTCCGAATCCTCATCGCCGCTGAAGCTTCGCCACAACCGTCGCTCTTGTTTTCATCTCTCTATTCGGTCGTTCATGGGTGTTGCTCTGACACGTTTGAGAGCTTAGAAAGAAAAGAAAAAAGAAAGAAGAAAATAAGGAGAAACAAAAAAAAAAAATTATTCCAAACAATGTCGTTTTGTACCACCAACTTTGCTACAGACCCCCACTGGGGGTTGACCCCCAGTGAGGTGGCAACCCCCCATTCGTCCAAATCACAAAAAAAAAAAAAAAACAAATTTTTTTTTGACCAATGGGAAGCTCCATTCATTACCCCCAGTGACCCCCACTGGGGTCTGAGGCATTTTTCTTTGTACCACCACAAAAAACATTACAAGAAACAATGGCAGAGAATCCGAACCCTTAGCCAAGGCCTTTCGATCATTGCTCACTCGTAGCCGTCGGATCAGCATTACAAGATCAAAACCGATCGCTTACGTAACACGCATCCCAATGGCGGGAGCTTCAGCGCTCAAAATTTCCCTCTTATTCTCTCTCTTCACATTTTTATGATGAAAAAAAAAAAAACACACACACACCCACAACGGTTCATCAAAACCCTACCCACTCTCTCTTTCCATTGAAACCCAAAACAAAACCCTAACACTCTGCAGATTTTTCGCAGCAACAATGGCCGAAGCCGAAGCCGAGGCCGAGGCCGCGAAGAGACTCATCTTCGACATCGGCAAACAACTCGCCGCCCAAAAATCTTGCCCCAACAAAGACCTTCTCGTAAAATTGCTCAGAGTAAGATCAACTGCACTAATTGCTCACAAATTCAGTTCAATTTTGCTTGCAGATAAAATTTGCACCCGTTTATAATTAAAATTTTGTTAATATAGTGTTTTTAGGTGTCCAGACGCTATTTCTCTACGTTATCGTGTTGGGTTGTGGGTATTTGGTATTCGATATGTTGAATAGAAGTACATTTATCGCATCTCCGTATAATTCTATCTACAATGTTCTATAGATTGTATGATGTTACCCTGTTTTTGGTGACATTGTACTAATTCTTGACACCTAGATGTTCGACTTTATGGGTTTGCTGTATTTTAGTTTTATCCATTATGTTTTGTATTCTAAGACACCAGAGCTATGGTCCCGAGGTTTTTGCATTAGATGTTTTGAATTTTTGACAGCAAGCTGCAAGTGCGTTCCCGGAGTTAGATCAGTCGGCATCTCTAAAACCTGCCATAAAGCCCCTGAGCGATTCTATTGTTAAGCACAGACTGCTTCTGCATAAAGATAAAGACATTAGACTTCTGGTTGCCATTTGTTTCTGTGAAATTATTCGGGTCCTGGCACCAAATCCCGACCTGACAGATGCTGTTTTTAAGGTATCGATTTTAATTTAATATACCATGTAATCGGTTTGTATCCGTGTGGGTTTATGAGAAACTCGTTTCCTTTGTGCTTGTACCTGCAACCCACACAGTATAAGACATTTTGATCTTGATGCAGGACATTTTTGAACTTTTCGTTAGTTTATTTGCGGAGCTTGCGGATAACACAAGTGCATATTTCTCAAGGAGATTAAAAGTATTGGAGACTGTTTCTAAACTCAAATTTTGTGTGCTAATGTTAGACACAGGCTGTGAAGATTTAGTTCTAAAAATGTTCAATACCTTTTTCACTGTTGTGAGGTTTGGTTTCTCCCTTTGCTTTTATGTTTTGTCTAGAGTTTTCTTGGTTATTTGTGCTTGTTCTTACTATGCATTTTGCAATCAACTGACTCTGTCTATGCTGCCTTGCCTTTGATCACTTGATTCTTTTGGTTAGATGTGAGTGTGGGAAAAGCTTGCTAGATAGGAATTACTGATGTTTATCCGTCTTCTTGTACTTTCTTGGTGATCTTTTATTCATGTTACAGGTAGTACAACTTTTCAAGTTGTAAAACATGTCAACCAAAGAATGATGCCTTCTTTTAGTTTGGTAGCTTAGTTGAATTTTTTTATTCCTTTCTTTTGATTTGATAGTCTTACTTTCTCTTGCATGTTTCTATTAATTTTGATTTTCTTATTCCTGAGTGTACATGTGTCTAAATTTTCTAATTGGCACACCATATCATCGTCATGTCATTATATCCAAACATAGGGTCCATACCATATGTCTGTAAGATTTTTGAAAGTTTTCTTTATATTCAATTGTGTGTCATAAAACAAAGAATACATCTGATTATATAGTAAACCTAACCCTAAGACTAAAGGAAACATTGCCATATGTATACATCTAAAACACTGCCATATATATACACCTAAAACACTGCCATATATATAAACCTAACCTAAAGGAAACACTGCCATCTATATACACCTAAAACACTGTCATATATATACACCTATACAGCTCTCAGAAAAAGAAACACTGCCTAACCTAATATTCTCAGAAAAGGAAACATTGCCTAACCTAATATTTGAAGCTTGAATAATCAGCTTAGGGTATGATGAGATATCATCCCTTATTTATAAATGAAGATTAGGGTTTACAAACAAGACAATTACATCTTGGTAAAAAAAAAAGTCAGCAAGTTGTAGAGCCGAAGAGACAAATGGAAGCGAGATAGAGCCAGACTATAAATGTTGACGGAAAAGGCAACTGGAGAGGTGGATAGAGGGAGATTCAAGCTTTCGATCACATAGAGATCTCTAACTCTATGGCCGGTCCTAATTTGCTTCTTAGACACCCAATCCTGAAGAGGACCTAAGCAAACCTAAATGAAGAGATATAAGTGCAGAGGCAGATAGGGATGACTGGGAGGTGGACAAGAGATGCTGAAGCTGAGCAATCTAGGCACTCAAGGAAGCCAAGTTAGGATTAGGAGCTGGAGCAGATGCAGTATAAGTAGCAGGAGGCCAAAAAGTATTCGGAGCAGGACCTCGGAACTAGGTCTGAGGCAACTGAGAAGACTGAGTAGACTGATGTCCTTTCTTGAGACAGTTGTACTTCCAATGACCCTTTTGATAGCAAAATGTACACTCATCAGAGGCTAGTGGCCCTTTCTTAGGCTTCACAGTGGCCTGAAGCTGATGAGATGGTGGGATCGACAACAGAGGAGACTGAGTAGGAGCCAAGAAAACAGATGGAGATAGAGTCTGATTGGCCGTCTTAAGACGGGTTTCCTCGGAAAGGAGCTCACGAACAATAGCATCCATATAGGGAAAAGGAGACCAATGAAGGATGCCACCACAGATAATCTCATACTGAGGGGAGAGCCGTTAAGAATTGTACTAAACGACCCTGCTCTTGAAACTCAACATAAGTGTCTAGTGGCTTGAGGTTAGATGGTTCTATGAGAGCCAACTTATCCTAAAGGCCTGTTATCTCAATGTGGAAGTCCTGAATAGATTGATCCCGCCGACGAGCACTTTGAATAGTTGTTTCCAACTCATACCACTTAACAAAGTTGGACTGTTGATACACACCCAATAAATAGTCTCACACCTCATCTCTTTGGCAGTATTGTATTTGGAAAATATCATTCCAATACGGTCATCCACAGAATTATGAAACCAGGTTAGAACTTGGGCATTATCACAATTCGAGTATCACAGGAAGTCAGATATCCTTCTGCTTTCGGGTCCAATGGACGAAGAACAGAACCAAAAACATAGTCCTATTTTTTTTAAACAACAAGGAAATTCTTCATAACACTAGCCCAATATGCATAATTGGCACTAGTGAGTTTACACCTGATGACTTGGATTTTGGTGTCTGTCATTGTAATAAACCAAAGATTGACCGGTTGAAGTATAATAGTCAAATAACAAGGGGGCCAAATTTTAAATAAGAGCCTTTAACCAAATAATATGTTAGAATTAATGTATAGGAAAAGAGAGAGAGAAACAATTATGTATGTATTATGATTGATGTATTATTGATTGATGTTTTTTGATCTCTATTACAATGATTCATGATTCCTATATATAGAAGAGGGTGAGTGTGTAGTAGGTAAGGAGTAGGTGAAGTGGAGGTGGTAGTGGTGTAGTGGGTTAGGTTTAGTGGAGTAGGTGAGGTGGTAGTGTTGTAGTGGGTTAGGTTTAGTGGAGTAGGTTTAAGTGGGTGAAGTAGGTGGAGAGTAGGTGGATTTTAACATAATAGTACTGGAATTAGAATCATGAACACACACAGGGAGAGAGAGAGAGAGAGAGGGAGCGAGAGAGAGTAGCGTAGAAGTTGATCGAGAGGGACAAAATCAACACCTCTTCGATTGCGTGAATCAAAGCTAGAGAGAGAGAGAGAGTTTAGTTGAACCATGATCGTGATTCCATGGAGAGAAAGAGAAGCATCTGATGATCACGAACCAGAGTTGATCTAGAGAGAGACAAAGCCGACAAATCTAGAACACCAAAGAAGAATCTGAGAGCGAACGGCACTAGGGTTTCAAACCTAGCTCTGATACTATGTAAGATTCCTGAAAGTTTTTTTTATATTCAATTGTGTGTTATAATATAAAGAATACATCTGATTATATAGTAAACCTAACCCCACGACTAAAGGAAACACTGCCATATATATACACCTAAAACACTGCCATATATATACACCTATACAATCTCTCAGAAAAGGAAATGCTGCCTAACTTAATATCTTCAGAAAAGGAAACACTGCCTAACCTAATATTCTCACAATGTCAGCTTTATGAGGTGACACATGGGGCAGTCAACCATTTTCATGTGGTTTTGTACTCCTTTTTGGGATTGAGCCACACATTTGTGGTGCCTTAACCTCAAGCATAGGTGCTCAAGGATGATCTCTAAGGTACTTTGTAGTCCGCTTGCCCAAATGCGCCTGATGCATCACCTCAACTTGGCTAAGCGAATATTTGTTACAAGGAATTGCTTCCCCTGCCACATCAACATGCTTGACACCCTCAGCTTGGTTGAGTGATTCTCTGGTCTAGCATGCCCTTCCTATATGTTAGTTTCTTATCTCCAAGCGACATCCTGATGCTCATGCCAACCTAGGTCGGAGTAGGGATTGGTAACCCCTTTGGGGTTGGTGTCATGCTCACACCAACCTAGCTTTTGCAAAATCTCATAAAACAATATGAAAGAAAATACTAGATGATCATTGGGGGAGAGGGGGTTGTCGTTATCATTTGGTGGATTGGGAGAGAGTCTGTGTTCCTAAGGATAGAGGGGGTTTGGGTGTTCGAAGACTGGTGGTGTTTAATCAGACTCTGTTGGGGAGGTGGTTGTGGCATTTTGTGGAGGAAAATGAGTGGTTATGAAGGAGGGTGATTGTGGCAAAGTTTGGAGAGGAGAGGAGGAATTGGTGTTAGAAGAGGGTGGTTTACTCCCATGGTTGTGGGTTGTGGAAGAGGATATGGTTGGAAAGAGGGGACTTTTGGGTTAGGGTTTAGTTTAGATTTGGGGTGGGGGATAGGAATGTTCGTCTTTGCTAGGATGTGCAAGATTGAGAGTTAGACCAATTGATGGATCTTTTGGGCTTTTTATATGGGTTGCAGCAGGGGGGATGGGGTGCATTATGTAGTGTGGGATGTTCGGAGGTTTAAAGGTGTTTTCTCAGTGCCTTTATTTTATGGGGCACTTGCAGGGGATGTTATTGGTGTGTTTCCTTGGAAGTATATTTGGGCGACATGATCTTCAACTAAGGTGGCTTTTTTTGTTTGGATAGTTGCTTTGGGTTGTATTTTTACTATTGATAATTTGATTCGGTGAGGACATAATGCGGAAATGGTGGATCATTTACTTCTTCATTGCCTGGTTGTGTCTAGACTTTGGAATTTCATTGTTGCTTTGTTTGGCTTGGTGTGGGTGCAACCAGGCTCTGTGTTGAGGTTGTTACAGAGTTGGGGTGGGAAAGAGGCACCGGAAGGCTTGGGTGCTTTCTTCCCATTGTTTGCTTTGGGTGGTATGGTTTGAACGGAATAGGCGAGTGTTTCAGGATGAGTGTCATTTCGTTTCATGGTTAGAGAGTAGATTGTTGATGGTGTTGCATAGTTGGGTTACGGGGTAAGGTCGATCCAAATGTTTTGGTTTTTGTAGATTTTGTGGAGAATTTGATTAGTTTTGTTTGTCCTTTTCTGGGCTACATTTTTGTATTCTTTCCATTGTCTTGATGCTTTTTAATAAAGTTTGTTTATTTATCAAAATAAAAAAAATACTGGATGATCATGAGGCGTGAGCTATATAACTATAATTTTTGTGGTGATGTCGAGGGAGTTAGGACAGTTACTGGTTGATAGATATTGAAAATTAACAAGTTGCTTGGATTAGGTGAGAAATAGCAGAAACTCTTTAGAACTTTCAATTTGAATGATTATTTTTTCTTAAATTGTGTATAATGTGAAAAACGTGTATTGTTTTTTCAACTTTAAATTCTGCTCTGAAGTTGCATCCAGTCATTTGCTGTTGATCAACTAGTAGTTCCTAGCTGTAAATATTACTGTATAGTAGTATATAATCTTTGGTGAAGTCTCTATTTTCTTCGAACTGCCATGCCACTTATTTCATATTGAAGATGACATTGTAGATTAAAATATTTGTCATATCATCTTCAATTCCCATTGTCACTAAAATTTCTAATGTGGTGGAGTATTGAACCAAAAGAGAAAACTTTGCAAAAGTAATAATTGCTCATGCATGAGTTTGAAGGTTTGGCTAGTCCATTCAATAATGCCCTACGGGTTGGGACAAAAATAGGACTTGTTATAAGGGATTTTCTATATGTACAAGTCATATAATTCCTTTCACACTTGTGAAGGCTAATTATGTCACCATCACGTTGTCTTGTTTTTTCCTTACTATTTTCTTTTCTATATTCATTGCTAAGATATCTATTGCAAAGACTGAAAGCTAAAGTAACATACTTAGGCCCTAAATGGTGTCTTAATTGTGGTTTCGTAGGGAACACCATCCACAAAGTTTGTTTAGTGCAATGTCAAGTATAATAGCTCTCATTTTGAAGGAGAAGGAGAAAGTTTCTCAGTCGCTTATTGATGTGATTTTGCGGAATATTCTGAAGGAGGGAAAGGTAATTTGTTGGTGAAATGCATTTACTTGTGCTTTTGTGTTGAAAGCATAACCCTTTTTTTTTTTTTAATATTTTAAATTTAATGTTTCCCCCTTCTCATGGTACTTTCTTCATTTAACTTCTCATTAGACTACTGAATTTTAAAATATTGCTGTCAGCATCATTTTTTATATAGAAGTATCTTCTTGTCATAGATGGATAAAAACATAATGAAGTTTGTGCCATCATTATTTGGGTATTTATCTTCTCAATTTGGCTTGTTAAAATGGGGGAGGGGCAGCTTTGTTATTGTAATTTGTTAGTTGTGTTCATGGAAGTGCTTTTTGAATGAAATCCATGGGGATGTCAGAAAATGCTTTTTGACCTAGGATGCGGTAGTAAAAAAAGTGATTTTTTTTTTTTAAGTTGACCTATATAGCCCTTGACAGTGCATAATGGCGAAAAGGAACTAATGAAGCCGACCATACTTGAGCGTGGGACACAAGGCTTAGTTTGGTTTGGTTTTTATTTATTTATTTTTTTCTTTCCAGGGTGCATCTCTTGCTGCTTCTAGGCTTGCTGTTTCTGTCATCCAAAATTGTGAAGAAGAGCTTGAGACTCGTGTTTCTGAATTTTTAACTTCATGTATAGTAAACAGAGATGCTGTAGGGAGTGAACTTAAAGAATTTTACCATGAAATTATATTTGAAGTCTTTCAGTGTGCTCCTCGAATGCTCCTGGTTGTCATCCCAACTTTGACTCAAGAATTATTGGTAAGTCTTCATTTTATCTTCATTAGGTTTGACATCGTAGTTTCATAATTGAGATATAGCAGATGTTGTGAGCCTATTATTGCTTCTCTGGAATACGTTTGCATTTTGGAGTTGTTCTAATTGCTTTTCCTTATTATTTTTTTCAGTGAAGTGATATCATAGTTGTAATTTAAGAGAATACAAAGCTTGGGTGATGATTATGATATCATCGCCTTTTATATTAATCAGTCAACTGTTACAAAAGGAAGCCCTAAGACATTGATTAATGAATCACCTTTTATATTGATTGATTGTTTAAGGAATCACAATCAATCAATCTATCAATCAATCACAATCTAATTTAAATAAGGAAACAAGTAAATATTCTAACACTCCTCTTCAAGCTGGTGCAAAGATATCTCGCATGCCTAGCTTGCCTATAATGTCATGAAATGGTTTATTCCCAACTCCCTTGGTGAGGATGTTTGGAAGTTGTTCGCATGACTTCACAAAAGGAGTACATATTATGCTTCTGGTGAGTTTCTCCTTGATGAAGTGACAATCAATTTCAACCTGCTTTGTCCTGTCATGTTAAACAGGATTGTGAGCTATGTTGATGGCAGCCTTATTATCACAATATAGCATAGTCTATCTGGCCCATCCCCAGATCACTCAACAACAATCTGATCTACAAGAGTTCACGGACACCTTGTGGTATAGCTCTAAACTCAGTTTCTACACTCGATCTAGCTTCCACATTATGTTTCTTACTCCTCTATAGTGTTTTAAAAAGCTCTAGGTGCATCGAGGCACCAAGGTCACTTGGAGCCTAAGTGCTGAGGCGCGAGGCGAGGCGCAAGTTATAGAAGTTTAGCAAAATATTAATATAGCACAATTTTCAACATAAGCAAATATTTAATACGTATATTATTAATTTTTTTAATAAGAAGAGAAGAGGAGAAGAATTTTTTTATTTTATTTATTTATTATATTTTTTAAATAATGTGTTTCAATTAATTTTTTTATTTTATTTTACATACATGTGTTTATTTTTTTTATTACTATGTATAAATATATATTATGTTTTATAATATTATATATATATATGAATCAATTATATTTTATATATTAGCTATAAGTATATTATATAATAGGTATTATATAATATATTATATATATATGAATCAAGCAGATAAAGAGAGAGAGAGACAGAAGCGGGTATATAATTGGTATTATATATTATATTTTATATATATATATATATATGAATCAAGAAGATAAAAGAGGAAGAGACAGAAGCGAGCGAGCGAGAGAGAGAGAGAGAGAGAGAGAGAGGGATCGCGATTGCGATCGCGAGAGAGAAGGCGACAGAGAGAGAGATCGCGATTGCGATCACGAGAGAGAGAGAGAGCAATCGTGGCCCTTCATCGTTGTCTTCTTCTTCTCCACTAGGGTTTTTTTTTTTTTTTTTTTTTTTGCTCTTTTGACCCACGTTTTGATCATTTTATATTGTAAATGAGAATTTATTCCATGTGGGTATTCACACCAAAACCAAATGGGCTGTATCAGTAGAAGAAACGCGAAGCGCCAAAAGCGCATGCCTCATCGCCTCAGCTACGCCTCTTCTATGTCGCCTCGCCTCGCTATACATCAGGCACAGAGCTGCGCTTCGCCTCGCCTTGAGCTTAGGCGCGCTTTTCAAAACACTGCTCCTCCAAGTAACAAGATTGCCACCCACAAAGATACAATATCCTGATATAGATCTCCTATTAGTTATTGACCCTTCCCAATCAACTCCTATTTAGGCTTCCACTCTGAGATGATCATGTTTGGAAAAGTAAAGACCTTTTCTAGGAGAAGATTTCAAGTACTTCAGAATTCTCATAATAACCTCTAAGTGAATTTGATGAGGAGCATGCATAAACTGGCTAATCATACTGACAGCAATAGCAATATTAGGACGAGATTGAGATAAGTAATTAAGCTCACTCACTAGTAGCTGATAACTCTTCCTATCAACAACTGCTCCTCCTTTATCATTACCAAGTTTCTGATTAGGTTCCAGTGGGGTATCATATGTCTTATCTAAGCATCCTCGTTTCCTTTAAAAGTTCAAGAACATGTCTTTTGTGAGATGAAAATTCTATCCTTGGAGCGAGCAACTTCAATTATCAGAAAATACTTCAAGTTTCCTAAGTCTTTGAAAACTCAGTAGTTAAATATTTTTTCAACAGGGGTAATTTCCTCACTATGATTGCCTGTAAGCACTATGTCATCTATATAAACAATGAGAGCTGTAGTCTTACTACGTGAGGAATGTTTTGCAAACAAAGTGTGATCTGCTTGACTTAGTTTGAAACCATATTTAAGCATAGCCTGAGTGAATCTCTCAAACCAAGCCCTTGGAGACTGTTTGAGACCATATAACGACTTCCGAAGCCTGCATACTTTACCCTTTGTCTGATGATCCTCAAAACCAGGAGGAATGTCCATATATATCTCTTCTTCTAGATCACCATGTAAGAAAGCATTCTTTACATCAAACTGATGAAGTGGTCAATCGAAATTAGCTATTAGAGAGAAGTATTATGACCGAATTCATCTGAGCCACTGGTGCAAAAGTCTCATGATAATCTACTCTATAAGTCTGAGTGATGCCTTTTGTCACAAGTCAAGCTTTGTAACGCTTAATGGAATCATCTGCTTTGTGCTTCACAGTATACACCCATTTGCATCCCACCGGTCTTTTGCCCTTAGGTAATGCCTTTCTTACGAAATGCTTTCATTTCCTCAATTATGGTAAGTTTCCATTCAGTGATAGTAAGAGCATCCTAAAAATGGTTAGGAATATTAACAGAGGAAATGTTTGACACAAAGGCTCTATACGAGGAAGACAAATGAGAGTAGGACACAAAGTTTGAGATAGGATGTTGAATACAAGATCTTACACCCTTTCTCTTGGCAATAGGAATATCAAGATCAGTAGGGTCAGGAATAGTAATATTAGTAGACTTAAGAGAAACAGGAGGTTCAAAGTTACCTGGACTCTTATCAGAAGTAGGAGATGGCAGTGGGTGAGCATAAGTGGTTTCTTGTATCCAAGTAACTTTCTGTCTATCTTTGTCCCTGACCTAAACTTGCCCTTCCTTGGCCTTGGTGGCATTGGATTCTATAGTTCCAGTAATAGGTGGTGTAGGAACAATTGGTTCCACCATAGAAGCAACATGGAAAATAGGAATCTCCCTAAAGGGATGATTGTGACACCAGAGAAGACAAGAAGTAGGACTGGGACTCAAAGAAGGTGATATCCTTGGACACAAATCACTTACGAGAAGGAGGGTGATAACACTTATACCCCTTTTGAGTAGGCAAGTATCTGAGAAAAACACACTTGAGAGAGCGAGGGTCCAATTTACCACGAGTAGTAGAATGATTGTGGACAAAACAGAGACACCCAAATATTTTAGAAGGAATGGAAAACAAAGACTTTGAATTGAGAAGGACTTGAAGTGGAGCTTGTTTTTGCAAAATCTGGATAGGAAGATGATTAATGAGATAGGTTGCGGTGAGAATGGCCTCGCCTCAAAAGGATTGAGGCATACTCATAGAAAAACACATGCAACGAGTCATATTAAAAAGATGACGATTCTTGTGCTTTGCAATCCCATTTTGTTGAGGAATATTGGTGCAAGATGTCTGATGTATGATGTCTGATGTATAATGCCATGAGTGGAAAAATAGCTCTCTAACCCCAAATCGATGTATTCACCCCCATTATCAGAACGCAAGATTTTGACAATTGTCCCAAATTGAGTACAAGTCATTTTATGAAAATTTTGAAACACAGAGAAAATTTTACTTTTTTTCTTTCATGAGATACACCCAAGTAGTATGAGAAAAATTATCGATGAAGGTAATAAACTATCTATGGCCTTTTAAAGACACAACACGAGATGGACCCCACACATCAGTATTTATTAAAGAAAAAGGAGCTAAACTTTTATTTAGACTTAAAGCAGAAGAAGCTCGGTGTTGTTTGTTAAGTTGACAAGACTCACAAAAATCATCGATAAAGGTAACAAGCCATTTATGGCCTTTTAAAGACACAACATGAGATGGATCCCACACATCAGAATGTATTAAAGAAAAATGAGCTAAACTTTTATTAAAACTTGGAGCAAAAGAAGCTCGGTGTTGTTTGTTAAGTTGACAAGACTTACAAAGAAACTCAGGCACATTATCGTCGTCCTCGTGACAAGGTCCTGAAAAAGACAATGATCAGGAAAAAATGTCACACTATAGTTCAAATCCTTAGTAACACGACTCAAGGATAGAAAGATTAATAGAAAAATTGGGAATGTGGAGCACTAAAGACAGAGGTAAGGTAGCGGTGACATGAATTAAACCATTCCCAGATATAGAGGAAACAATACCATTTGCAATCCTAACTTTGTCTTGACCTGAAGAGAGCTTGTATGCTGAGAAATGGTCAGAAGACCCAGACATATGATTTGAGGCACCAGAATCAATAATCCATAGCAAAGACTTATGGGAAAGAAAAGCACTAGGAGAAGATTTTAAGTTACCTGAGTAGGTAAACAACAAGGAAGATGCACTGGGAGTAATAGAAGACCGGCGGGCCATTAAATGGCGCAAAACATCCTCAAGCTCAGGAGAAGTCATGCTAGATAAACTATCATAAGTCGGACCAATTGAAGTGAAAGTAGAATCAAAGGTGTCAACAACGAGTAATGCTAGAGGCACCAAATAATCTATCAAATGTTTTACCAAACCTCTCACATGGGTGTGTGTGTGTGGGTCCCACACCCATGTGAGAGGTTTGGTAAAACATTTGGTAGATTATTTGGGGTCTCTGGCATTTTCTGTCAACAACACTAGACTGATGGGTCCATGGATTAGAGCCACGTCCTTTAGATTGGCCTGATCGACTGCCTCTAGTACCAAACTGATCATCCTGACTTGTTGATGGAGCCCTATAAAGCTTCCAACATGTCTCACGAGTATGCTGCGGCTTGCGGCAGTAATCACAGAACACAATATCCTTCTCTGAAGGATGGAAAGAGGCAGTGAGTGACAAACTAGCCTCATCTCGAGAAGGAGCATAAGGTAATGCTGAACGGTCTCCAATAGCCGGTGGTAACATAGTAGAACGATAACTCTCTTCATTCTGTACATATGCAAAGGCCTCTTGAAGAGATGGAAGAACATCCATGCTAAGGACACGACTTCGGATTGGATTAAACTCCATATTGAGGCCTTCCAAAAACTTGAAGACCCTCTCCTATGTAAGAAACTTCTGATACCCAATTGAGTCAACTGTATAGACAGGCTTGTAATCCAGAAGGCGATCTAGGCGTTTCCAACCATTAGTCAGAAAGGTGTAATACTGGAGAACTGTCTGCTCTCCCTGTACTGAGCGCTTAATTGACAGGCGCAACTCAAAAGATTGAGAAAAATTCTCTTTTCGAGAATATGTAGTAGCGATTGCTTTCCAAATATCCTGGGCAGTATCCATAGATAAGTAGCCTTTACCAATCTCAGGAACCATGGAATGAATGGGCTACCCCATGATTAAAGAGTTGGTAATCTCCCATTGGTCATAGCCAAGATCTGTGATACTTGGTGTTTGAACTCTTCCATTAACATATCCCATTTTCCATCTACTCTGTAGAAAAAGTGTCAAGACACTGAGATCATGAAAGGTAATTCTGACAATTAAACAGAGCGGTAGTGATTTTGAGGCTAGGGTTTAGGTTCTCAGATGTAGTAGTCATAACTGGACTGGAGCTCTCCCCTTTACATAGGTGAGAAGTAGTGGTGGATTCACTAGTTAGGTCAGCCATAAGAACTCTACAATTTCAACCCAAAAAACCTTGCACGAATCACAAGAATGGAATGAGCTGGAACAAGTAAAATCACATACAAACCACTATGGGAGTATAACAATCAGATTAATGGGTTATCTATGGACCCAAAAAATAAATCAAATATGGGAAAACGAACCTCCAATCAAAACAAGTGCTGAACTGTGTTCAAGAAAGTAGAAGGAAAGAAATTTAGGGCAACAAAAGATGGGCAGCCCTCAAACACTCATCCACAGGAGCCGAAATACATAAAGAGAGGCTAGGACAACCCTCACAAGAGTCGACTAGGCCAGAGGGGCCTTTGGCTGAAGCTGAAACACCTTTGTGGGACCTTGGCTGGTTTTGACAGAGACTTAGGGACCAGCGATGGAGGATGGGTGGTGATAGGTGATGGTTGGTTGGTGGTAGTGGCTGTGGGGGTGACGGTTTTTAGGATTTTGACTCTGATATCATGTAATTTAAGGGAATACAAAGCTTGGGTGATGATTATGATATCATCTCCTTTTATATTTAATTAATCAACTATTACAAAAGGAAGCCTTAAGGCATTGATTAAGGAATTACCTTTTATATTGATTAATTGATTGACTGATTAAGGAATCACAATCAATCAATCAATTAATCAATCACAATCTAATCGAAATAAAGAAACAAGGAAATATTCTAACAATAATTCAATTTGCAGGCTGATCAGGTTGATGTCCGGATTAAAGCTGTTAATTTAATTGGAAAGCTTTTAGCACTTCCTGGTTATCATGTTGCCCAGGAGTATCGTTATCTCTTCATAGAATTTTTAAAAAGATTCTCTGATAAGTCAGCGGAGGTTAGACTTGGTGCCATATCATGTGCAAAAGCTTTCTACATGACCAATCCATCGGGGACAGAAGCAGTTGATGTTCTCAGTAAGCTATTCAGAATCTATATCTGTCTTGGCAGTGGTGTGCTGCTGGCTTTGTTTTCTCTCATTTCCGGGTTATACTTATTATATGATATTTTTTGATTGAGTAGCTGCCCTTGAGGGTCGACTGTTAGATTTTGATGATAGAGTGAGAACCCAAGCAGTGGTTGTTGCCTGTGATTTAGCTAGGGCTAACCTCAAATCTGTTCCATCTGAACTGATAACTCGGGCTACTGAACGACTTCGTGATAAGAAGGTAACTTTGAGAAGCTTTTGTTTGATTGATATTAAGCTGTCTAATGGTTGACTGTTATTTTATTCTTGCCATGTAGGTGTCTGTTAGAAAGAAAGCATTGCAGAAGTTGCTGGAAGTTTATCGCGATTATTGTACAAAGTGTTCTGCGGGTATCATAGCACCAAGTGATCACTTTGAGCAGATTCTATGTGGAATATTGATGCTTTGCTATGATAAAGATTGTAAGGAGTTTAGGTATGCTTGTTCCTACTCTTTCACTGGTTAAAGCAACATAAATGTTGCATGAATTTGATGTAATTTTCTCTTTATATGATTCTTCAGTCCTCAAAACATGGAGCTTGTGCTTGCAGAGGAAATGTTTCCTACTTCTCTTTCAATCGAGGACAGAACTAGGCATTGGATCTTGTTGTTCTCACTTTTTGAGCCTCCTCACTTGAAAGCTTTGAACTCTATTTTATATAAAAAACGAAGGTATTGATACTTGATAGTCAAATGTTGGTATCCTTACAGTGAAGATATGATATTTCTTTACACGTTCTGTACATTTCAGGTTGCAAACTGAGATGCAAGTTTACCTGACACTCCAGAAAGAAGAGGTGCAGTAATGGAACCTTCAGTTCTATACCACTTAAAGGGGCTTTCTAATTCTTAATTTTGCTGTGCACTAGTGTGAAACTAACATTCCGAAATGAATCTTTTATGACTAACATTCTTGGTTATGAATTTATTTGAGTAACCTTCTATTGAACTTTAGTTTGATGGAAAACTTTTTATGACTGGGATTGGGGGACACGTGTAGGGTTTAGTTGTGTTTATCTTTCAGAAATGAGCAAAGCTTTGAAACTCAGGACTTGGTTGAGCTATTCTGAAGTTCTCATTACTTTATAGAATCTGCCTTTAGGGTGACATGAAATTTCTGCATAGCCAAACTTTTTTGACACGGAAGTTTGGATACTTACAGGACAAACAACTTAAAAAGGTACTTATGGAACTCCTAGTGATTTGACTTCTTTCCTTCTGTTAAAGTTACTTGGAAAATTAACTTTGTTCAATTTTAGTGGATTTGATATATGAATGTAAAGGCAGTTCAAAATTCTAGCATCATGATTCAGTGCACTTGTTTATACTCAATTAAGGTTAAACAATCACAAATTAATTTGATCACATCTAACAGTTTGACATTAGGACTTGTTTTTTGTGGTTTGTGTGTTAAGTTACCAATTTTTCCAAAAGCCTAAGCTATTAGGAATTGGTCCAACAATGTATATTAAGCTATCTAACACCCTCCCTCACGTGCAATTATGTCTTGCACATGGAGAGACAAACAGTGAACCAAACAGAAAGATAAACAAACAACCAAACAAAGAAGAAGAAACCGAACGGTGAAAGAATACGGAAATGCCAAGAGAGACTTGAACCCAAGACCTCTTTTAACTACAACTTTGATACCATGTTAAGCTACCAATATTTTCCCAAGCCTAAGCTATTAGGAAATGGGTCCAACAATGTATATCAAACTATCTAACAATGAGAAGTTGGGATGCAGTCCTTGCATACATAATTTCTATTTCTCAAATTGAAATTTGGAATTTTTTTCCTATTTTGTTTGGTGTCCACTTTGATGTGGAACCTAGTTTAACAGTTTAGTCCATTTGCTTGAGTAAGATAGTCTAGTGCTGCTAATTGTTGAATTTTGTAATATGACAATAAAGTTGAATGTGGAGAGAAAAGAAAAACCAAAAAAGAGAAAAGAAAGAATACAAAGGGATAACGTGGTTCCACCAATCTTGGCTTACGTCCACGCACACAAAGCCTTGTGGGCTGCATATTTCATTCACTCAACTTAATTCTCTTGTTTACATGATATACACCATATATATAGAGTGGGGGAATTTTTTTTTTCCCTTTTGATAAATTATATATAGAGTGGGAGACACAATCAAATCCTTTCAGTTAAGCGATTGAAATAAATTAAAGATACAAAAAATCATGATAAACACAAATATCATGGGATCTCTATATATTTTGATATCTTCTATGATAGAATCTCCAACACTAATGGCCGACCCCCCTTCTTTTTCATTTGACCCCTCACTTCTTTTGACACCCCTACCCACCTAAATTGCTCCCCACCTCTTTTTTTTCCCTTTGAACCACCACCATAATCCCAAATATACCCCTTTCTTTGGAGCCCCTCCCCCCCCAACCCCTGCTGCACCCTTCCTCTAGCCACCACCTTCCCAGCCTACCTGCCCTTTTATGCCACTCCCCCACCTCTAGTGGCCCCCTTCCAGCCTCTCTACTCTTCTTTGCCAACTCCTACCTCCGGCAGCCCCTTCCTAGTCTCCCCATGCATTGTGCCTCTCCTCCGCCTCTCCCCAACCCTTCTCCACTCTCGACTGCCCCCTCCTCCAACATTGCTCAACCTGTCTCCCCCCCGAAACTAAGGAGGTACAAAATCTGGGCCTCAGCCTTCATTTTTTCCCAGCTGAAATGAATTATTCTGGCCAAAATGGTCTTGTACGTAATAGAATCAATAACTCAAACCAGAATATTGGCATCTTTACTATGTATTACTTAATAATTTTCTGAAAAAGTGGGAGCATTCTTGTAGAGAGGATAGGATTGTCGCATAGTGTATTGTGCTACGTGGAGTTTTTGTTTTTGTTGCTTTTGTATAATGACACCTTGTGCTTGTTGCAGAATAATGGCTCTGAAGAAGTGCATAAGAGAATTCAAAACTCTGTAGCAAAAATGTCATCATTCTTTCCAGATTCCTCCAAAGCAGAAGAGTGCTTTGATAAATTGAACTCAGTGAAAGATAGTAACATTTTTAGCACATTGGCGCAGTTGTTGGATGAAGTGACTATAAAAATTGCTCAGGCGACAAGAGTAAGTTGTTTAATACAAACATTTGTCTAGCTTCATTCTAAAAGATACCATGTTTTTGTTCCTCAGATGATGCTACTACTTGAATATCATTTCTTTTGTTCATCATATATTTTGGAGGGTTTATTTTAGATATGTTGTTTTGCATATGGTGATCAGTTGCCATAAATTTTAATATGATATCCTCAAATCTGTTTTCTTGTTTTGCTATAGAATATTGTGTTATATTGTTATTTGTTTGGGGAGCAAGAGTATCAGGTGACCCCATGTCTGATGCTTGACTAATGGAATATTATTTAAAGGGACAAGTTACTGCAAACAAAGTACTATTTCAATGTTATTTGGGGTTACACCAAACTAGCTTGTCAATTGAACCATGAAATGTGCAGTTTCCGTTCATGCATGGATGCTAATCTTGTTCTATGAATTAGTTTATGTTCATTCTTAGTTCATTGCCTTTTGCAACACTTACTGTCATTGCAGCGGTTACTTGTCTTCCGTGTTTTCCTTTTTCATATTTTTTTTTCCTGTTTTAGGTTTTGTTTGTGTAGGAAGTAGATATTCTGCGAAGAGATTGGCATTATTTGGGATATGTCTAGTTATGGTTGGATTTGACATTTTTCTTACCCTTTCAAAACTTTATTCTCTCTGACTGTTGAATCAGTTCCCCCCAGAGAGTTTGTTAGTGGCATGGTGCACAACATATTGAAGCTACTTGGGTTGTTGTTATAGCCTACGAAAAGTGCACTTTTTAGCCCCAATCATATCCCCAACCTTTCCTGCTACCCTTTGGTCACTAATCCCACTCTAAATCACCCTAAAATAGCTTTTGCCCAGAAAAATAATATGCCTAATTTAAAAAATCCTGCAACCTGCAACTTTTGAAAATCAAATCCAAACTCTCTTTTTACATCTGGGAACCCTAAATTTTTTTCCCTCTCTCACAAATCCCTAACCGTAGAAGCTTTTCATAACCAAAACCCAGCACAATTTCAATTGAGTGTAGCAATTCTACAAGTTTTCTAGAGTTGCCTTGCATCAATTTGGTATCAAATGATGAACAGGATGGAAAGAATAAAAGAGCAAATTTGGAATTCCACATAAAGCACGTTTAGGGCATCATGGAGTAGTTTTGGAATAATTTTGTGCTTCTTTTTTTATTTTAATTTAGTATGCTGCTAGACATATTTTATGTTATTATGTTAATGTTTAGTAGTTAGGGGTATTTTGTTAATTTGTTTTATTTAGTATACATGGATTGTAGGGGTTGCCCATATTTTGTGTTTTGTGAAATTTTTTGTTTTGTGCTCTAATTTTCATTGCTTTTCCCATAACATTTGACATCCATATTTCTGTTGATGTCTCCTATGATGGAACCTTAAAAAATGATTGATATTGATATTTATTCCTTGCTGGTAACTATGGTGAAGAGAATATACACTTTCTTTGTTGCTGCTATAAAGCTATTAATAAAGTATATTGTTCCTGCACTCAAAATGAAGCTTAGAGCAGTGGTATAGTTGTGCTGTATCAGACATGACATAATACTAGCAGGTTGTTGTTTGAAAAACTGTTCTTGAGAATTGAGCTGGAATAATTGATTAGAAAGAAATAATATGAGGCTTGTGAGAAACCTAAGAGAGAAGGGAATTGCATCAGCAGCAACATTTTCAACTTGCTTTGAAGTACCAATCCTCTCTAGTCTCTTGACACCATCAAATTTGAGATGTGAAAAGTTATTTGGCCCTGCTTCTATTTATGCCGGTGGGAGTGTTTTTAATATTATATTGCTGAAAATTGAAATATAATTTTTTTCTATGCTTGTTAATTCATTTATCCCTTTTTTTTTTGGTTTCCTATCTTCTTCACTTTTTGTTTGATTGAATGGTTTATTTTTTATTTTTTAATTTTATTTTTACATTTATAATTTTCTGGCTATAATTTAGGTGATAATTGCTTTTTCTTCTCTAAATTCAGGACAACTTTCTGAGAAAGATGGGGGATAGGCATCCGCATTTTGGGTTTCTACGATTACTCTCCACAAAGTGCCTGTTCAATATATTTAGTTCTGAGCATGTCCATTGTATTTTAGATCATCTTTTGGGTGACAATTTCACAAATAAAAGTCTGGAGGATTCTTCCGTGAAGCTTCTTCTGGTAAGGCAATTGTTTCTTAAATGTCCTGAACCTTGGGATGTGTTTTGGATATAGTTTATTCAATATTTTTGATCAGTATTGGTTGATTTAGGTGTAACGCATCAGTATTGTTTGCTTTAGGCTTATTGATCATGTTATTATTTCTATTGGGCAATTGCTCAACCTGTTGATTTGAAGCACGGCTAGCGATTATGAAGCCATGATGAGGCTTGGGGACTTTGTGCTACATGTTGAGGGTAGAAGCCCATTTTTGTGTTGAAGGCTAGAGGCCTCTTTCATTGTAAGGCCTGCCTATTTGTTGTTGTAAGTCCTTGAGGGCATGATTTGAAATTCCATGTATAAAATGCACACGTGTGTGTTTATTTGATAGAATGAATGAGATATGGAATTATGAGAATGGATGTAAATGAGGCCTATAGTTGCGTGCTAGATTTCCATTGAGTATGAATCACATGTTGTCAATTGTTTATGTTTTAGAATGCATGTTGTTGGGTTGGTTGTGGGTCAAAGTGTGACCCCTTCAATGTGTTTCGGACAGGGTGAAGGTTACCTATCTGCTTGGGTTTATGAGACTGCTCAAGCTCGTTACAACCTCTCGGTTTTTGCTATTTGAGCAGAAGTCCTGGAAGTTTACTTTTAGCGCTTGAGCGGTGAAGAGTTCACTTGAGCGATAATTTCTTTCTCTCAGGATCTGTCTTTCTGATTAGGGATGCTATTAGTTTGCAATCACGACTCAAGCGGTAAAGTTTCCTCTTGAGTGGTTTACTTACTTTGACCAACTTTGTTCATTTTTCAACCTTCGATACTTTGGCTTAGTCTGCCCTTTTAGAAACCTCCATGCACTTCTTTGACCATTTTGACCTTCCCCAGGTCATTGGATTCCGTGTGTGTTGAAGCCTTTAGCTTAGATGTTTACCTTAAGAAGAGGGAAAATTTTACGATCTAGAATAATTGATTAAGAAAAAGGAACTGTGGATCAAGCTTGCTTGATGCTTTATGATTCTCAGAGTATCGGATAAACTGCAGTGATATTTTGAAGGAGAGAAGCTGTTATCACTTGTAAGAGAGATTTTCTTCTTCTTCTGTCTTCCTACTAAGCTTTGGCTCTTCATATCTGTAGCTTCATAAAATAGGATGTCAGTGAGAATGTAACGTTGCTTACAGAACATTCAGTTTATAACACCATGTGTTTGCCTTTTAGTGTTCCAAGTTAGCTTGTTTGCTGTATATGCCAGTAGATTAGCAGAATTTCCGTTGTAAATTTTGTACACATCATTGTAAATTTTTCTACTTTTAACTTACCTAGGCTATCATCAGCGCTTTCCCGTCACTCTTGAGAGGTTCAGAAAAGCTGTTCCAGTTGTTGTTACAACAAGATATGCCATTTAATGAAGAGCTGATTCAGATGCTGGCAAAAGCCGGCCCTCATATTGATATTAAACTAAGGTAATTGTTGGAGTCTTTGCTATTTGATGTTGATGTTTGTATGGTTTATTTAGCGATAATGTGACGTTATGAAATTTTTAATCCAAATTAGATATTGTTGGATATTTTCTTCAGATTTCTTTATGTGCAGACATGCCTCTCCTTGAGTTTTAGTCATGGTTTTTGGATATGCAGCATTAACTGTTGGGACGAAGTCTTCTCCTTGGTTGTATGAAATGTTAGTCATTGGATTGATTTCTACATGATATATAGCTTTTATTCTTGATTTAGTTGGTTCTTAAGAAATTCTGTCTTTAGCGTTCATGTTTTTGTGGCAGTAGAAGTTCATATTAGTTGGGAGGGAACCTTAAGGTTGTGTTTGGATTTATGGATTTGACACTATTAATCCAAGGAGATTACTCAAATTTAGATTTGATAATTTGGATATGGGTTTGAAGATGGGGTTTGAAGATGGGATTTGAGAGCTTTGTCATGATGGATTTGAAATTACAATGTAAAAGTAGTAATTTCAAAACCTTCATTCTAAGGGTTCTAATTCTACAAGGATCCTAATAAAATATTTCTTCTCCCTCTAATTTATCTCTCCTTTTTGGTTTCTCAATACACCTATAATTGCTTAATTTCCTATATTTTTTATATAAGTCCACCTCAAATCCATTGATTTGAAATTCCTTTTTTTTTTTTCTTCTTTTCAAGAGCCTTAGATTGTTCTATGCCATTTAAATATCATGTTTTCTGGAACAAAATGACTTTTAAAAACTTCATTTAACTATTATATGATTCCAGCTGTTGTGTACATCCTGCAATAATTGAGCTTGAGGTATATATTTTTACAATGCTTCTGGGTGTCTGAATTTGGCTATTTGTTTTTTTTGGTTTTCAACAAATGCATGCTTATTGTGGTCTTGGAGGAATTGCTCTAACATGCTTCTTGAATAATCCTACGTCTTTTCTTGTGTTTCTGTTTTATCCATTAACCATGCTTTTTTTCCCCTCCTCCCTGTATGTTTTGAATTTGTTTAGCTGTATGTGCTTTGTTCATGTAGTGATATTTACCCATCATTGGAAAGGGTGTGCCTGGAGGGAACTCGCGCTCAGTCCAAGCTTGCTGTTTCTGCAGTTGCTGCATTGATTGATACTTCTGAACTATTTTTTTTCTCAGAGTTATGCAAGGTCTACTTATCTAAACTTTTGTGTGTAACTACTATAGAATCAAAATTTCTCTCATTTCCTACTGTTCTATGCATTTATTTATATCCAGTTTTTCTGGCATACATTTCCTAGTGTTCCTTAGTTATACATGTCATGTCACACGTGTTATTCACATTTTGGTATATGCTTGTTGACTACCCATGCTAGATTTTCTGTTGTGTGTGAACTGCTTGATAGTGTTGACGATGAGTCTGGTGTTTTTGTGCTTATCTGTATAGACACTTGTGGATGCTCTACATGGTGGACAGAATATTCCAACTGTGTTGCAGGCTTTGGGTTGCCTAGCTCAACATTCTGTTTCAACATTTGAAAGCCGAGATGGAGAGATTACTCAATATATTGTTGAATTTTTTTTCCAATCAGCTGATGTGAGTTTATTTCATAATATTAATATTAATTAAATGGAATAATCTTGAGGAATATCAAAATTTCTTTTTGTGGTCTGTCTCTAACTCTCTCATTTTTAATTTTTTTTGTTATATTTTATATAGGTGGAAACATCAAATTATCAAGATTTACTTGATGAGACTTCTGACTGTAGTGTTTTGTGCAAATTGAAGGTGAGTTCTATTGAAGTTTAACTTGAAGTATAACCTGGCTCAAATAGGGAAAATTGACCATAAAATTTTGAATGCTAACAATTTATAAATCAATCACATAGTTGCAAAAATAGCAAACAAATGAGAATATTGAGACCATGCTGTTGGTTTTTCTATTTAGTTGCTTAGCTAGAATTCTATGTGTTATTTGGAGATTACTAGCAAGCTTTGTGTTAAAAAATGATGTATTATTGATTGATGTTTGTTTATTGATACATTTATGTCTATTACAAATGGTTCCTTATATAGATGTAGGTGTAGTGGATGGTGTGTAGTGGATGGTGATAGTGGTGTAGTGGGTTAGGTTTAGTGGAGTAGGTGAGGTGGTAGTGGTGGTAGGTGATGGTAAATTCTAACAGCCCCCCGCAAACTCAAGGAGGATAGAAACTAACCAACTTGAGTTTGAAGAGAGGAACAAAACAAGAAAATACATAAAAAAAAAAGGATAGGAGACACTGTATGGTCGTGTCAGACCATTGGTGAAGACACTGGATGGTGGTGTCATAACGTTGTAGAGGACACTGTATGGTGATGTCATGACGGTGTAGAGGACACTGGATGGCGGTGTCAGACCGATGTAGAAGACAGTTTATGGGGTCATGTCGGACCGTTGTAGAAGACAGTTTATGGGGTCATGTCGGACCGTTGTAGAAGACAGTTTATGGGGTCATGTCGGACCGTTGTAGAAGACAGTTTATGGGGTCATGTCGGACCGTTGTAGAAGACAGTTTATGGGGTCATGTCGGACCGTTGTAGAAGACAGTTTATGGGGTCATGTCGGACCGTTGTAGAAGACAGTTTATGGGGTCATGTCGGACCGTTGTAGAAGACAATGTGGTGACAGTTGTCGGACAGATGTAGAAGACAGTTTATGGAGTC